CCCCATGGATACTAGTAGGCTGGTGAAACGAGAAACGATGATGATTAGTTATTGTCAATGAATATGAATTTATAATATGTTTTATGTTACTGATTGTGTATGAATTTATGATCTGTATCATATTATTGTCTTATAGGTTGTTTTCACATATTTCCCAATGATAAGTAAAAAGGTAAATGGTTTTACTTTTAATGAATGTATTGGTTTAAATTTAGTGCTCAATTGATTTTTTTTTGTTTTCTACCAACCTTTACTTCTGTGCTGGCGATATAGTGTGATGTTCTCACTGGGTTAGTGTACTTCACCCCTTATTTAACTATTTCAGATCAAGAGAACCTGATTCCCGAGTCCGATCCACAAGAAGGCTGCGAGTATAAGCTAGATGCTTTATAGTTTCCTTTATTTTTTTCCATTTCTCGTATTTCTTTCAGAGAATTTATTCCGTGATGTTTGTTTAGTACTTTTAAGTTATCGTGTAAGAGATGTTAACCTTAACCTTTATTTCGCTTCCGCACTCGAATTATTATATGCATTTCCTTTTAAATTTACGAAGTCGTTACACCATTAATATAGCTCTACATAATTTTAGTAATTATTTTGATCAAGTTATATGAAAGAAAACACTAAGTTATACTATTAAGTCATGAAAGGTTATGCATAAGTTAATCATGTTATTATATGATTAAAATAAATACTTTTATATAATTTTTATAATTAATTATTATGTTCGAAGATTATTAAAAACTTCATACCAAAATTTAGTAGTCACATCAATATAATAAATTCTTTATATAACAAACATTTATAGAAGTATTAATGTCTATTACACTGTATTTAATAATATAAAAACTCATTTATGATTGAAATATTAGTATGTGAATATGCTTGCATGTAGGTTTATTTATGTTTGTCAAATTAATTTTACGAAATAAAAAATTTATGAATTCTAAAATAATAAATTTCGTTGATCTCATCACTTTTTTGTTTATATTTGCATAATTCAATGAATATCTATTACATACGAATCAAATTTATTATTTTGATGAGTCATATATAGTAAAACACATAGCATTACCATTATATATATATATATAGAATTATGATTATAATTAAAAAAAGTGTTTAAATCAAGTTATTATTATAACAACATTATTACATCGTATATAGTTAAATAACTATAAAATTATATCTTTTTAAAAGAAAATTTATTGATGTCATTATTTTATTCATTATCATATCTTTTTTAACTTATTAACTATGATGGCAATACTCTCATTTTTTATTTTAAAAATATTATTTTTGATCTATTTTTATGTGAAATTATTACTTCGTTAATATTTTTTTTAATTAAAAAGGGCAGATCACGATGTTTATTTTTAATGTGTTCATTAAGTTTGTTACCTTTAAATATTTTACAAGTTAAAATAACTTTAAACACTTATGAATTTATTTATTAAATCTACAATAAAATATTATGCTATGTAAACTAAATATTCATTGTTATTAACTTTAGGTTACTATCATATCATTATTACAAGTAAACGTGTAATATGTATTTTACTATAAATAAAAAAGTATTTGTCAAATTCCTAAATATTTATATAAATACCGAAAATAATTAGTAAATGACAAATGATTTCTAATGTACACTTTTTAACAGTTGAAGTGACAGCCGACGAGTAAATAAACCACCCGTACTCCTTTTTAAGTTCAAAAACCAAACGGTGATGATGACGACTGTGGTGTCAGATCACGACACGAAGATGTAACGCTAGCTTACCCCATGGGACCCACTCCTTTTCCTTCACCTCAAAGCACGCATCTTTTCTTTTTTGTTTACTTGTCCCTCACAGGACACCCCATGGGAATAGAATTTATCTTTTGAGTGAAAATGGAATTCATATATTTTTTAAAGTTTTTTGGGAGGGTTTTTCCCAAATATTTTCTTCCTTTGGTGGCTGCTTTTTCTCCTCTTTTTCTCTCCGTAGATTTCTCTGGCCTCTTCCTTTCTCTCTTCAATTTCCCTTCGCTCTCAACTGTTTCTGCACAGCAGCCATGTCTTTCAGAGGGGTAAGTCTCTCTCTCTCTCTCTCTGTTGTTTTGTTTACCAACTGCTTAGGATAGATCCGTCTTTTAACTTAATTGCTTCGTTTGTTTGAATTGCCGGTAGCTAAGAAGTGAGAATCTGATAAATTTCAATTCTGGTTTTGTTTTCTCGCCAGCGTGATTTTGGTCAGATCCTAGTGGTACTTAGCGTCAATCAACTGTATCGAATGCTTCTCTTCGTTGTCACGATGTTGGTTACTATAGGGATATGCATGTATCCGGAGATAGTTGTTTTTATTAGTTTTCTTTTTCTTCGATCAGATTTTTGTTTTGCTTAATTCACTTTGATACGACTCTAAATTGATCGTCCGGAACTTGCTTTTTGTTATTTATTTTCCATCATATTTAGGGGATTCTTACTGGAATTTTTTGTTGTAGAATTCTTATTTTCTTTGGATAAATTAAGTATAGGTTGGGTATCTTTTGAAACCAAATGCAGATTAGAAAGATAAATAAAGGTTATAACTTATAGAAGGGGGTTAACATGTGGATTTGTTAGGGTGCTTAAATTACGGGATTGGTAATATTAAATTGTACTTGCTGGAATATTTCGAGTTAAAGTGCATATGGATCTAATTGAAGGTTTTACCTTATTTTCCTGCATAATTAATGATGGTTTTCTGTTCTTTTCCCTTCTTTCTTAGCTTTATAGTTGTGTGAGAATTGGGGGTGCTATCACTTCAGAGTCGTCATGGATCCTAAATCACCTTGTTTGGTTTACTATTATTTACTTACTACAAATCCTTGACAATAGAAAGCTCATTGTGTTTGATTTCATATGTTCTTTCAAAAAAAAAAAAATTGTTTGATTTCATATGGCAGTATAAAGTATCTAAACTAACCCTTGGATGCAACTTATAAACAATGAACATGTTGAAACCATGTAAAGAATGTGGTTTGTGATTTTTGTTTGCATATGATATAATACCCATAATCAAATTCATAAGTAAAAAAATTAAAACTCAACCCTCAAAGAAAGCTGAACTTTCATATCCTGAATAGTTTGTTACAGAAAGGAAAATGTTTTCTTTTCTTACTACATTTCCAAAATTCTAATATCTCAAATCATAGCATGACCAACTAACCTAGAATTCTATGTTGAACTTACACTATCTTTGAGTTGAGGGAAGTAGAGGAAAAGAAAGGGAGGGACAATGAATATCTCTCGCTTAAAGTTTTAGTTTCTAAATTCTTTCAAAGTGGGGAAAAAGAAGGAAAAAAGGAAACAACTTCAAAATTTTTAAGGGAAAATTATCCTTACCCCTTAACTTGTTATTGTTTTCCTTCTTTTTCTTTTTAAAACCAATCTTTTTCTTTCATTCGTTTTTCCAATTCCTTTACTGATTTTTACCCAAATATAGCGTTAAGGACGAAATTTATATTTGGAGGCAATTTGGAAAATTCTTCTCACGATAAATGCTTATTTGTATGGTAAAATTGTTTCAAAGTATAAATTCTTTTTATAGGAAAGGAAGACACTATTAAGAGAGAAAGAGAATGCAAAGTGGCAGGATAAGTCATTATCCTACCAAAAAAGAAGACAGAACACAAAATAAGGGGTCAGACATAAAAGTAAAATAGCCTCTCAATTTCTTAGCATAATTGAGGAACGCAACTCAGAAATGTGATTTAGTGTACAGAAAGGCCGTGCTTATCACTTTATCTCAAACACAAATGTGCACCCTAGCATGCCTGTTGCATTTTTGATCATTTTTTTTTTCCTTTTCAGAAACTACAAAACAATGGTTCTGCGAGTTTTCTGTTATGTTCTAGAGAAAGTATTTATTATCGTGTTTTCTCTTGCAGACAAATGCTTCATCTGGGATGGGTGTTGCTGAAACACAGCAAAAGCACATTCTTGGAGCTGCAGAGGAAAAAGGTGCATCGCTATGTGATCTTCAGGATTGATGAGAAGAAAAAAGAGGTTGTAGTTGAAAAGACTGGCGGCCCAGCTGAGAGCTATGATGATTTCACTGCTTCATTGCCTGACAATGACTGTCGATATGCAGTTTATGACTTTGATTTTGTGACTTCAGAGAATTGCCAGAAAAGCAAGATCTTTTTCATTGCATGGTTAGTGGTTCCTCCATATGCTTGATGTCTTCTTTTTGCTTGAGATTTATCGTACATGTTGCAATTTAACTTATATGGCTTGCTTTATATCTAATAACTAGGATTTCTTTTTTTTTCCCCATTTGATGGTTAGTATTACTTTCAGCTGCCTGATGCATTCTATTTGCTTGAGATTTAGTGTACCAATTGCAGTTCAACTTATTAGGCCTGCCATACATTTTTTTTTTCTATTTCTTAATTTTTGTTCTTCTTGTTAACTATGGCACATGTTGGCTTTGTTGCTTGGACTCGGGTATGGGTGTAGGAAACATGTTTTTCTGTGTCTGCCTTGGCAATTTTCAGAATCAAAGATATGGGTAGTTAGTCAATAAGAGTCGAAATAAAATTGAGTACAGGGAAATAACTTGAACTTGTTTGATAAAAAAATAAGACAATTCTTTAACTTATTATAGTTTGGATAATTATAGGTAAAGATTATAATCAGTTTTAAGTAATTTTTATGCAAACCAAACAACTAGTATATTATAAAATTTGCAGAAAAAAAAGAAAAAAGAAAAGAATCTTTTCACTTGTTCGTTAAAATCTTCAAACAATTACCTCAGATTTAAATGGGCTTAGGTTTTTAAGCTTTTTCGGTTTGTTCATTCAAACGTTTACAGACCAAAACCATCATGTCTATCTTTATAATACAGCCTAAATACTTCTTCTCAA